CCCCTTCCAGCCCCCTTCAACCCCCTCCTGCCCTCCGTCGCCCTCCAGTCCCTTTCAGGTAATTAGCTGCACCTCGAGCACTCGGCTGGTGGGCGGGGCTGCGCAGGGGCTGCGCTATCAGACTGTGTGAGCGCAAGCCGTAAGACCTGTTAGCGTGGAGGCAAGCGCACATAGCCACGGGCTGCCGGAACAGGACAATAATGGGAGTAGAGCACTAATGTGATCGTTGTTGATGATGGCGTTTGAGCACTCTGTATGAGGAAGTTGCCCGATAAGAGGAACAAGAAGAAGGTAGCATTGAGGAGGTGGCGTGGCGTAGCGCCGTCCCTAAACAAAGCAGAAGATGAGCGACAGTCTAGCAGAGGTTAGGGTTAGGATGCGTGTCGTTAGATTTCAAACAGTTTAGAACGGGCCTACGCATCTAGCACTTTGGTACCACCTATACCAAAGTTTATTACGACAGTTGAGTCATTATCACTGAGTTAAAATAGTACCAATGCAATATGTCCGTACGCTAACCTAAACGACGACACCGGGACGGTTTAGAGGATGGTATAAACTTACTTTTCCGAAGCCAAACTTTGCTGAAGCACTTTTTGACACAAGATGGTTACGCCGGTCTGGTATGGACCCAATTTTTCTTTAAAGATGCTACGAAACTAGATTCATAATCACACATCCACTTGCGACAAAACACAGTATGGTCGCCGGCGTTACGATTTGTTTCCGGCCGGACGGCGCTACGCCACGCCACCTCCTCAGTGCTACCTTCTTTTTGTTCCTCTTATCGGGCAACTTCCTCATCACAAGACGTCACTGCACAACTCGGTGCAGCGGGTCCTCGCCGCACGCCCAACACATTTATACATCGCCCGGAATGCATTTAAAAAGTCAAAGTAGGAAGCCCGAGGCAGTAGTGCTTTCGCCAACTTGTAGAGTTAATGTTTGTGGTTCTGTTGTCTATGTAACATAGCCGTGTAGAGGGCTTATTCTCCTTTTACTTTTCAGTGTTCCGTGTCTAATAGGACATTTATGTACTTTTCTATTGTAAATCTTCGATTCCAATGGTTTTCAACGGACTTATATTCTGAGACTTGCTCGCAGGAAAAATGGCCGTGTTGTACAGCACTCAGAAATCGAAGGGGAAATCTTTGTGCGCTTTTTAACAGAGTAAATGTGCAGTATTGGTGCTCGTCTCCTCGGGGGCCTATGTATTATCCAGTACTTTTTCTTAATCTTAAGCGATTTCAAGTTAAGTTATCGATGTGACCACAATTGGGGCGTACAACGAAAATTGTGTGTGTGAAGAACAACCCTGTCAGCCCAACCTACTGCCCTACACTTGAATGAGAAGTCATTTTGGCTCTGTTCTCTCAAATGTGGTAATTGCGATTATAAAATTACAATTATAGGCTTTTCTCCCAATAAAGTTCATTGTGTGTGTCGAAAGTGACGAAAATACATCACAGAAAAATGTCAACGAGAGTGAGTGAGCTTCCTGCATCACTTCCTCCTCTCAGCCTGACCGCTCACTAACAGTGACGTGTTATTCTCACAAACTGACTGGATTTGTGATATGTATGCCCATATCCCGCTAGAGCGCGCCTCTGTCGGCGATTGTCTATTGTTGGTTTGCTCCCTCGTGGAGTCAGTTCTGGAAT